AAAAAAAAAAAAAAAGTTATAAAAAAAAAAAAATTAAGCAAGATTTGCCTGAGCATTACATCCAAATTCCTTACCAAATTTGAAATAAAAATAAAATACGAAAAAAAAATACTAATAATAATATAAAAAAAAATTAGCAAGTGCGCGAAAATATTTTCGACACCGCCATCTTTGGAGAATTTTTATTTTTTTTTGCATATCTAAATGGCTGAAAAAATTTACAGATGTGTACTTCACATAATGCTAAATCCACTGAAAAAGTTTCAAAAAATAATAAAATTGTTTAGACCCTGAACTAAAGTGAAAACAAAAAGTAAAAAGTGAAAAAAAACGTGGGCGAACACGTTTTGAGACCACCATCTTTTGCGATTTTTAATTCTTATTTTGCTGAGAAAAATGACTTGAAAATTTATAGGCATGTAACTCTCGTCATAGAGAACGCACAAAAAACAATTCAGAAAAAAAAAAGTTATTTTTAAGCCCCGAAATAATTTTTTGCAGGGGCCGAACGTCGTCAAGTTCGGACCCCGTACGGGACCCCGAACGCGCGTATGTACGGGCTGGTGACCCTGCATATATATATATATTTATTATTTTAAAAATTTTGAAGGAATAATGAATAAGACACTCATTGGCTGATGGGATGTCGAAGCTTTCATGCAAAGGACGATAATGTAATAAATATCACCATTTCTATTATTTTATGTATCTTTTATTTGAACTGTATAGTACAAAACATAAATTCATACTTTTATCATTGATGTAAACAAACCAGTTTTCACTGAAATAATTTTTCCTCATCAAGTACGTATGGAAGTGATGACAAATAAGTCAACATATCAAAACCATTATAGGAAAGTACATGGTTAAACGTCCTTGCACTTGTGGTTTAAACGTAAGTGTTTACCTTGTACACAACCAGTCAAAAAAAATTAAAATTCTTCAAAATTGTGACTTTTTAAAAAAATCCAAAAAAGAATTCCACAATATTTATTTGGCCATAAGGCCCATAACACTCAAATTGTTTTCACATACAAAGGAGTTCCTTAGGTGGGATTCAAACCGATGACTCAATGAACAGTGCAAGCAATGATTGTAAGTTGATTATGTTTCCCTTAGAACCATTTGTGGAAGACAAAAGTCATCAAGCATAAGCCAATTGCATCTGCCACGTAGATTATTTAGAAGGCAAAGAAAGGAAGATAGATAGGCAGATAATGTGTCACCCATGCCTTTGGGCACCATGAACGAATAATGTAGGGAACAAGATGCATAAATCATGATTGAAAGATGATAGTGTAGCTCGAAGTCCTTGCCTCAGGATACCAGCGTGTTCGTTTTTTGGATGTATAACTCAGTTGGCAGGGTATTGGGCTTTTGATGTAATAATGGTGGCATGTTGAAATCCTGCTATACCCATCAGGTCAATAAAAGAAAAGGATATAATAAAGCATAATACCGGATGATCAGATGGCAACTGTAATAACATGTGATCCTAGAGGCGTAGTACTACTTCCATGTTCCTTGAATTTTCCAGTACTCCAATACTCTCCCTCATCCATCACACCCGCCTTCAAGTTGTCCAAACAGCTTGCTAATGGAATCTCCCTCTGGACATGTGGATGTAGAATCCCAGCCCAGGCTACCTGCAACGCCATGTTTTCGCATCAGCAGTGCATTTCGGGTTCCCTCACCCTTTTCAAGGCTATGGCCAATAGCCCACGGTTTGTGATACAAGCATAACCCGTTTTCACAGCCCTTGGGAGGGACGGTGGGGTTGCCGGTTCAGGGTAAGCAACCGATGTGGAGTGCTGCCCTACATTCCAACAACCACAATTGAATTGCGAAAGAACGCTGAACTGGGATGATGAACCAACTGGCCAAGCTCAGTTGGTACACCAATTGACCGTTGACGTACAGACCCAAGCAATCAGATGAACAGCAGAAGAGGTCAATTCGGAACTGGGATGGTATGATGGTCGTAAACGATGTATGGGAACCGAGAAGACCGTGGTGGTAGTGGTAGGGGCCGAGAGTGTGGGGCTGTGGGCCTGACGGGACAGTAAGCGGAGGAGAGGGTCTGGACAAAACTGGACCCCGGACGCGGGAATTGGGTGGGGTGGTGGGGAGTGGTTGCGGGAAGTGGCGAGTCAGGGCCCAGCTAGGGCCCAGCTGGCGTGTCCCTCTCTCTCTCTCTCTTGTGGTTGATCGAGCGATGGATTGATAGGTCGATTGGAGGGCTCTTGGCGCGAACAGCTGTCGGCGGTTTGTCTAGAGCAGGGGAAGGCCAGCACGAGAAAAGTGGTAGGTCATGTGAGAAGACCACAGAAGAGGAAACAAGGGAGAGAGTCGGGGGCAAGGGGCGCGGTGAAGAGAGCTAGGGAGAAAGGGGAAGGAGTAAGGACGAACAAGGAACGAAGGAGAACAAGAGGAAGGAGTAAGGACGAACAAGGAACGAAGGAGAACAAGCGAAGTAGCTCGAGAGGAGGTCAGAGGAGGGCAGAGAAACGACCGGTACCAGTTGCTTTGGAAGATTAGGGCGTATATTGATTGATTGGTTGAGCTTGCATGCGCCGTAATGGCTCCTCCGGCCAGACCGGGAGATGCGGCATATGCCAATATCGAGAAAGTGGTAGGTGTACCTCTCCCTCTCTTTACGTTTTTTTTTTTTTTTTTTTCAAAAACAATCAATCACTTCAAAAGCTCTGTCTCGGATGCGAGCTCCCTCACCTTCTTCCCTCCGCAATGTGACACGTGTCTTTCGTCCTACCTCATTTTGATACGTGTTATCGGTTCCCCGACTGTATCATTTTTTTTGTTCATCAGTTCGACACGTTTCATTCACTCCTCATCACTTTGTAAACTGTCCTAATTTCAGGAGACCTGTCGTCCTACTTTGACACGTGTCTTCGTTTTCCCGGCCAGTCTGACACGTGTGTTGGTTGCTTCTCACTTTGACACGTGTCCTAATTTCGAAATTGCGTGTGTTGAACTTCGTTTTGCCCTTTACGATCTGTGGGAAACCCAGAGCTACCAGTACTGCCGTCTTTACCCGAGTACAACACCTGGTCATTATACCCGTATTTGGGGAAATTTACAATCCACGTACAGCTATAATCACCGGGCGTTCTATTCGGGAGAAGACGGGTAGTGCGTAGGATAGGAAAAAGAAGACGGAGTTTCGAACATTGGCCGCGGAAGAGGTCTTGGACTGGAGAATGAGAATATAGCTATCGCGAGTTCGAATCCTCGCTTATGTACGGTATATATGAGTCGGTGAAACGTCGAAGAAAGTTTGTCACAGAGCCCCTCGTTTGTTGTCCTCTTCTCCTTCTTTGCAGACGGTTTACCGTGCAGTTCTGTTTGACGATATACATCGTCAAACAGAGCTGCCGGTATGGGCGGCCTTGTACGCAAGAGGTTTTGAACAGGGGGAGTCTTGTAAGGAAGAAGATAAAAAATGATTTTTTTTTTTTTCCCGCATTTGCGCTCTGATAAATTTGTGACGATATATATATAATGAGTCGGTGAAACTCCGACGAAACAGTTTGTCACAGCCCCTCGTTTGTTGTCCTCTTCTCTCTCTCTGCCTACGGTTTACCGGGCAATTCTGTTTGTGACGATATATATAATACTCTCGCGTGGTCATGCTCCGTCAACACTGGCCCGTGGATGGACTTGTTACATTCGAGCTCGCCAGCGTCGACATCCAATACATGTAACTCGCCTTACACAATGGTT